ACTGATAACTGACAGCATGGAAAAATTTAGATCTCTTGCATGCTGTAATACACGATACAGTTATTTGCCTCAAGCAAACTAAAAATTCAGTGGCAGAGCCAGCTGGTTACAGATGGTAGTGTGAAAAGTTCACCTCCTCCTTTCTCTGCTGCTTAGCTGCAAGAGTATTAGTCAACAAAGCAAAGGATTATTTGTACTTCACTCTGCTCAGATTAAAAAGGATAAATTCTAAAAATGAATCTATAGCCTTCACTTCAAGCAGTAACACACAGTGCTCCAACAAAGGAGGAAACAGCTTTGATGAAACATCAAATGGGATAATGAAAAAGATCAGAGATGAGCTTGACATGAATATCGGGCAAAGTTTGCTTTCCAGAAAAAGGAACTCAAGCCCTGCCTTTATACCTGACCTGACTTTTAATACGGTGCGTGCGTGTGCAGGTGTGTCATCACTGGCTGATGACAAAATAAAGCGGGGGATATTTGCCAGCCAGGGAATTTAGATGCAGACAAATCCTCATTGCTTCTCCATACCGAGTCGGTCACCAGGAGGGCTGTGGAACAACAAAATGTGAAACAAAATACAAAAGATGGCATGAGCTGGAGGAGCAATGGAAAAATATTTTTTAATATTTACAACTAATATTCTTCCTCTGACAAAACCGGGGCTTAAGCAAACCTAACCAAGAATTAAAGGATAAATATTGCCTAACGACAGGGAAATGGCATTAAAACGTAGGCAGCATAAATGAATGTTCAAGCTTCGCCTCTGCTCAGCACTCTTAGCACCTGAGACAGAAAAAAACCCAGCACTCCTTAGGAGAATACAGAGTAAGATTAAAGGTGAAACACAGAAAAGAGTGAAAAAACTGAAATCAGTTCAGACTTCCTTTCTGGACAACGTGTGAGTATCACAGATGTATTTAAGGACAGTGCAGAGAGGCCAACTTTTTTCTTTTTTCTTTTTTTTTTAAGCCTCGAGATTTGCAGCTGAAACATGATAAAATCCAGAAAGCAGCAGAATTTTCTCAAATGCTGAAGTAAAAAGACTTCCAATCAGTTTAAAAACAGATAAAGAAATAAAGGCAATTTCACAAGTAAGTGCTAAAGCACTAAAGACATTGTTCTAACAGAAACAGATGAACAGTGCAGATGCAACATGATAATCAAATTTCTACACACAAATAAAGCACAGGGGAAGAGCTAAAAGTGATACTTAAGGATGGGGATTGTGACCTAATGTGTATAATTAAACCACTTAATTTAACTCAGCTCCCTTTGTTCTTTTTACAGAGAAATAGAAAGCAATAGATAATAGTCCGACACTGAATAAAGAATTTATTAGGGCATTCCTCCCCAAAACTGCTTTGTCTCCATTAAAAATAATGGGAAAAAGAGTTGCTCTAAGTGAAGAATTTCTAATTCTACAAATCCAAAAGCTTTAAGGGACAATATCTACTCTAAAAAAGGCAGTTATTTGGCCAAAAATGCTGCCTTTTCTGATTTGCCATGACATATACAGTAATGAATGACACAGTTGGTTTCTTAACTTTAGGACCTTGTAAGATACAATGCATTGATCACATTAGTCCAATTGAAAATATTTCTAATAAAGCTGCAAATAATTTCCTTATTTCTAAACACGTAACTGGAAAAAACACTTCTTTTTTCCAAATAGCATCTTTCTATCCAGCAATAGCAAAATGCAGCAAGGATGCTTGGCCCAGCCAGCACGGGTTCATGAGAGGCAGGTCCTGCTTGACCAACCTGATCTCCTTCTATGACCAGGTGACCCGCCTAGTGGATGAGGGAAAGGCTGTGGATGTGGTCTACCTGGACTTCAGCAAGGCCTTTGACACCGTCTCCCACAGCACTCTCCTAGAGAAGCTGGCGGCTCACGGCTTAGACAGGTGTACTCTGCACTGGGTAAAAAACCGGCTGGACGGCCGGGCCCAGAGAGTTGTG